GTTGCCAGGACTGGAAGAAAAAAAAAATCAAACAGGCAAAGCGACCATTTCATATAACTGTCCATTTCCAAGCAATTCAGGGAGACAAGCCAACAGCTATATTAGGGCCTGTGTTGACAGCCTTTTGTTTGCTTTAAAGCAGAACTACACTGCATCTGAGCACCACAAACCAAAACCACTATTTAAATATTTTTTATTTTTCAAACAAACTCAGCTATTTCGCTCTGGGAGCAGATGCAATAAATCAACTTCTCAGGTGTGATGATCAATAGCTACACAATCATCCATAAGGTAGGTATCCACCACTCAATATAACGGTTCCAGGAGCATTATATCACTCTCTCTTTTTATATCTCTCCACCGAGGTCATGTTTGGGAATGCACAATTTCTTTTGAGAGCACTTGAATTTGAAAAGGATTTGTTTGGACATTTGAAGAAATTCAAAATTGGACAATTTTTATATTCACAAATTTAATTATTTAAATTACGCACTAAAAAAATAGTTTTGCACATAATTTTGATATTTTTTGATATTAATTGAGAATAGATATATATATCTTTTGCACTAAATTAGGAATAGTTTGTGGTTTTAGCGCATTCCTTTATTTAAGTTATAGCACTAAGAAATGTATTTGGTTTCTTTGAGGTGGAATTGCTGCTTTTAAAGTATTAAGGGTGTGGCACTTTTATTACACTTGTGAAACTCAGCTATTCATCCATGTCTAAATGCTTTATTTTGCTGAGAAATCACTTTGAAAAACACCCCCTTGCATTTCTGGTCATGGACATCTTGGGTAAAGGCAGTGGATTCATATAGGAATTACTTCCTGGAATCAATCCGCCCTTAGCTCAGGCATGCAGTCAGGAGGGTATGCTTAGCTGAGAAAACCCCTCCTCTCCTCCTGAGGACTCCTGGGATGTATGACATCATTTGCCTAGGTCTGTAATGGCGAAATTGCATATTTCATATTTTCTTATTAATGCTGCCCTCACAAATATCTAGGAGAGCCTCTATTATCCTAGTAATACTGGTTACTTAAATGACTTCATACAAAAGGAAAGTAATTACAAACTGACCAAGTCCTTAAAAGGTCATGTTGCTTGCAAGGGGAGTTGACCATTTCCTTACATATTATCACAGCCAAAACTTGTAAGTCTCAGTCTCACATCAGAGCTGCCATTAGGCATGTGTCTGAACCTGGTTGGCCTGCCGCGAAAAAAAGCGGTCGGGGACTCCATGGCGAAACAGCATTTTTAGTAAGGTATTCTTGTTATAGTTTCCAATATTTTCTTTATCTGTATCAGTCACTACTTGTGTTAAATGTTATACTTCTAACAGAAAATGAAGAAAAAAAATTAACACAAGTAAATACGATATACTTTCCTATCTATTTAATAATGCTAGTAGCATAAGGATTAAAAATAGTCCATATTAATGTGGGAATGCAAAACCCACTTGAAGCAGGTCAGCTGCAGGGTAAATTAACCTGTCAACGAAATATGAATGGTCTCAAAACCTTCTCAAACAGATGTAAACTGATGCCATTGACATGTTAAACTGACCTGCCCAGGGGCGGACTGACAACTCATGGGGCCCCCGGCCAATAGGGGATCATGGGGCTCCTGTGTCCTCATCCACACTCAAAAAAGCCTATGAAAAAGGTACCATGGGCATCTCATGGGGCCCCCTACTGACCCAGGGCCCTCGGGCAGTACCCGAGTTCCCAAATGGTCAGTCCGCCCCTGGACCTGCCCTAAAACATTTCTAACGTAACAATGGTGCTGGATTGTAAAAGGACCCTGTGGTGCTTGCAATACTATAGACTGATCTCTCTGCCCCTGTGATACAGGGAGCCATGACTCATGCTCATTTTGAGAGTAAGTCCTTCACCGAATCTGGTTTCCCAGTGGTCAAAGAAAAGAGACTCCACTGCCCATTCAACCTTGGTATTTGACAGGTGAATGAAAGAGGTGTGGGTTATTGCTGAAAAAGGAAAAGGCTTAAATCCCAACTCTAGCCATTTTTTAAAAAAAAATGTTAAACAGAACAGGAAAAAATAGAACTTCTGTCATGTTTTTTTGTATTGCAGTCTGTGTCTCCAGTCCTTCTCAGTCCTGAAAGGAAGTTATGGAAAATCTCTCCAATGAAGAAATAGACTTTAACAACACAGTTTGCTTAGTAAAATGGGTAAGGGTTAGAACAGCTTCCTTTCCCAATGGCAACAGCTTCCCTGATTTCTTGTTCTGGCTGTCAGATGCAAAGGAAGAGAGGTGAAATCTCTTTCACAGGGTCAGGGATAGCAATAAAAACGACAGAATTTTAATCTTTACAGGTTTTTTTACTATTGAAGGCTAAGTTCACTCTTATGCAAGTTGCAGATTATGCATTTTCACTGTGTTTTTTGCTTTTTTTGACAGCCATTTTTGATGCATTTTGCATTTTTGGGAGGTATATGTTTTCCCGCAGGACAACCAGCAAAAATGCATCAAAAACAAAAGCACAGCTGCATTTCCATTGAAGTCTATGGCACTAAAAACACAACCTGCTGCAGGCAAAAAAAGTTCCTGACCCTTTCCAAAAAATGCACTGAAAAACACAGATGTGAACCAGGCCTTACTCTGTAGTCTAAAATAAATCTGTTTCTCATATTTGCAGTTGGCCAGAAATTAATGTACTACATTAGTGCCCGGTCACACCGGGTGCGATTGAAATTGCACCTGAAATCGTATCTAATGAATGTAAACGTCAGTGTCTTAACGTGTGATTTTCTGCAGTGCGATTTCTAAAGTAGTTCTTGCATTACTTTTTCTGCAGTTTTGTTGTGAATTCACATACTGTACATATATTCTATAATGGAAATTGCACTGACAATTGCAAGAAATCACTGAAAATCACCACAAGTAGCAATAAAGTCTTCAGAAATCGTGCTGAAATTTCACACGAATCGCAAGATTTTAAACTGCATCAGTGTGATCCGGTGACTTAACAGTATGTTAATTCCTTTGCTGCAGTCACTACCACTAAAGTCTACTAAAAAACTTTTTTTCACAACCTGGACTCTAAATAGTGTCTAAGGTATAACTATTTTCAGGTAACCTGTGTTCAGAAAAATGTGAGAATTGTGGTTTCTCCCCAAATTTGAGGATGAGTTGTCATCCCGAAAAACAATGCAGTAATTGGCAGCTGAGAGAAGTAAAAAAGAAATCCTAATTGCCATGCTTCTTTCTGATCAGTGGCCCAGAATTCAGTGAAGTCAGCATGACAACCAGGAAAGTGCAAACACAAAACACTCTGTGCCATCATACAATAAACTAAAAATATCATAAAATATAAATAAATATTTTAACATTTAATATTTTTAAACCACTGCCATGAGTTCCCACATCCAGATATTGTTATTTCAAAAGTGCAGCACAACAACTGAGATATTTGTGCTGAGACATATAATACAGTGCATAAATTATAAGGTTCCTTAAAGCGATTCTAAAGGTTCATTTTTTTTTTTGTAAAATAATAAACATGTCTATACTTACCTACTGTATGCAGTGGTTTTGCACAGAGCAGCCCGGATCCTCCTCGTCTCAGGTCCCACACAGGCTCTTCTGGCTCCTCCTGTGTGTTGGGTGCCCTCACAGCAAGCAGCATGCTCTGGGGGCACCCTCTGCTCCATCTGTCCATTCACACATGGAGCCGCGCCCCCTCTCCACATTGTCAGACTGGCTGTGATTAACAGCAGCAGCAGCCAATGGCTTAAGCTTGCTGTCTCAGCCAATCAGGAGGCAGAGACCCGTGACAGCAGAGGCTGTCATTCACAACGCTGGACTGCGATGAGGGGGCAGGCGGAGCTGCTGCACACAGAAAGTTTTTACCTTCATGCATAGAATGCACAAAGGTAAAAAACCTTCAGCCTTTACAACCACTTTAAAACCAACATAGAAAGCATATGTGTGATTTTTTTTAAACCCGTATAAAACCTGTACTGTCAAAAAAAGTGCAAAACAGTTTTGTTTTGTTTTTTATATATGAGTCGTTATACCATCCAGAAAACAACATTTCTTTCCTAATATAAAGTGCAATCATGCCGTGTGTACTTCACAAAACGTTTTTGACACTTTTTGTGAACTACACACAGTAAGATTGCACTTTACATTAGGAAGGTTAATATTGTTTTCTGGATGGTACATTTTTTTGACATTATAGGTTTTATATGGGTTTAAAAAATTAAATCACATGGACACTTTCTTTGTTGGTTTTATTGAACTTTTTATATAATTATTTATTGTTCCTTCCCTATATTATTTATCTGATAGCACAGATATCTCAATTGTTGCGCTGACCTTTTGATCTGAGAGCCAGGAATCCAGCGTCTACACTCTTTGGCCATTGAGGAGACACTGATGATGTTACTATTGTAAATGCATGCTGGAGTTACACCACCCTGGCACCCAACTCTAGTCCTGATATCATGATGGAAATAGCCTGGGAGTGTGAAAAACACTGAGTATGAGCAGCAGGCAGTGTACACACATATTATTTGTGTATACAATTTTTTTTTTTTCACTTTCAGCTAGAGTTCAAGGGCTTTACATTTTTGCTCTTGACCCGTATTATTGAAAAAACTCAGAAAGACATAGAATACAAATTAGTTTTGAATTTGGTCTTACTAAGCAAAGTACAATTGCCATTTTTTTCTGCATCTGCTTGGCTTTGTGTCAGGGTAAATATAGTATGGCCTATTCTGCTGTCTACAAAAGACACAATAAAGGCAAATAACAGCAATTCATAAGCATCTCAAAAGCAGCTCAGAAGCAACTGAAATAGAGGACTTTTCTGTCAAAGCATATTGCATTTGACCGGTTTGTGAATCTGAAGCAGTACACAATATATATATATATGGCCATATATAAACGTATTTGTTTCTAATCAAGTATATGTCTAACTTATTTATGATTTTACATACTTTGAAATCCTTAAACTATGTCTTAAGAAAACTCTTACGTGATGGCGACCGTTTCATCCTGGACTCTCTTGGCTTTGGAGTGGGTTTATAGTCTTTTGCTGTAATATGTCCATTCCCCATATCATCAGAGACTGGTGATTTTGGTAGAGTACGCTCATAGCCTCCTTTGCTTATAATGTCTGCAGCCAGGCTATCATCTAGCTCTTTGTTGTCCTGCCTCCGAGTTTTCAGGAAGGACACTTTACTATTTGAATCCTTATCATCATCCTCATCTGAGAAGTGAAAATCATGAAACGATTTCTGTGACTGTGGTCTAGTTGCGATTGTCTTCTTGAAAGAGTCATCTAAACTGTCTAGAAAAAGAAAAAAATTAAGAGGATATTAAAGTAGCATATCAATGTAAAAAAACAAAAAACAAAAAGAAACATACATGCAAATTGTACCTGTACTAAAAGAAACATCTGTGCAACAACAGCAGACTTTTTCCTCTATTTTGGTAGTTTTAGAAAGTTAAAGTGGTTGTAAACCTCAGACATGAAATATAAACAGAGAATATCCCTCTACAGTGTGTACTTTATTTAAATCCACAGCACAGTGTAATTTCTGTCTGCTGCCTTGTTCCTCTGCCATCAACATGAGTCACTTCTGACAAGTTTTCCTCACACACAAGTGAAAAAATGTGACAGGGGAGGGATCACTAGCACACAACCTGTGATTGACAGCCTTGGTTCTGTTTCTGTGTGCTGTGTAAAGGGCGTGTGTCCCTTCTCTCCAATCAGGGCTCAGAGCACCCCTCACAGGACTCTGCAGAGTGCAACTTCAGCTCCCCACACCTTGATTTTCAAAGCTGGGAGATCCTGCATAAATTCTGCACTTTAAACAGATGTAGAGATGAGAGGGCTACAGAATAACAGGTACAACCTGTAGGAGGATTTTTTTCATCTCGGTGTATCATCGGAGGCCAGTCACTTCACTTGGTATATGTAAGGGTTTACAAAGACTTTAAAGGAAGAATCTTGCTGGTCTTTAATAGTTTCACAGACAGTTGCAATTATGTGAAATAATAAAAAGGTATGAAATGATTGTGAATAGAGTAGATACCTCCTGTCTCCACTACTAATCCACACATACACAGTTAAATTAAACCTGGCATTATCTACATTTGGCTCAATTTCACTATACTGTTAAAGGAAGGCAATAGTGAGTTCCCTACATGATAGCATGGGCAGGTGACAGGTCTTCTTTATGGTGACATCAGGGGTCCCAACATCTCCCCTGCCCTCTACCGCAGCTAATCAAGCAAATAATTGGCTGCATCCTCAGCTATGTAGCCAAAGAAAGACAGTTATGACCCCAAAAGTATTGCAATACATGGAGCTTCTGAGTTCATTTGTCGCAAGAAGGGGAATCAGGAAACAGATTTTCTACAATCATCTCCTTTTACTTGGAACAAAGACTATAGGATCCAACGGGCTGCACACTTGAAAACTGCATCCACTTTATTGATAATCTTCGAAATGCCATATATAGCAAAAATAGACGCCGTGGGAGTAAGCAAACACAGTCAATGCATTTTGTGCTGCTAGTGTAGTTGTGAATAAGCACTAGCAGCACAAAATGTATGGACCCTGTTTCCTTGCTCCCACGGTGTCTATTTTTGCTGTAATTGTTGTTTTTGAAGAATTGAAGTTCAGTGGATACAATTTTCAAGTATGCAGCCCTTTGGATCCTATTGCATCTGTTACACATGGCTGGATGAGCGATGCTTGCACCTGAATTTACAAGAGGTTAAAAGGACTGTGTGGTGGACCCACCTAGAGCAGCAGCACACTCATTTATCTTCTCTTAGTTACTGCTATTTACTGCAGCCTCAGGCTCCCTCATTTATAAACATTCTTGGTAGACAAGGGGTTAATCCTCTAACTTTCATTTATGTTAACATTTATTTTTCAGGTTTCTTAATATGAAAAATATGGACAATTTGTCTATTCCACCTCCCCCAAAGTAAACTACTGCCTTAGCAGCTGAATATTGCATATTAGTTAATTACTGTAATTGTTAAAAATAACTACACTAATTAGCGAACATGAAATAAGGTTACAATTTTTTTGTATTAGTTAATTACCCTCAAGGTTACTGAAAGGTAGCATAAGTGCGCAAAATCCTGTGTGGCTGTATAGTCATAAGCATTAGCATAATAGTAAACAGTTTTATCCATGACTCATGGGAGGTTAGAGTGTAAGCAGCATGTCAGCCATGCTCTTGCTATTTAACCCTAAGAATGCTGCAGTAAACTATAAAGGGCTCCTAGAGAAACTGTTTTACAGGTAAACTTTAGTGTGTGTTCCATTAGAAATAAAAATATGAAGGACAGGATTAGTTGCAAAAGCAGCCCAGTGTCTATTTTTCTTTAGTAATAATTATTCTATACAAACAATTGAATGGGGAAATGCAGGGATACAGCAGATTAGAAGAGGAGTGGTGCCCTGCCCTGGATCTGATGAGTCTGTAGGGAACAGAGCAAAAGATCAGGTGAATATAGCAGCCAGGTGAGTATAGCAGCCAGAGTTGTCTTTTGTTATATTTGGAAAAGGCAGGGGGTTGACATTTCTTTTTTTCTGAAGTTGGACGTATAAAAAAAATAGTAAAATAACCATTTTACACATAATGGATATGTATGGAAATTACTTTTGATTCTCTTAATCTGAGGATATATATATATATATATATACCGTATTTTTCACTCCATAAGACGCACCTGACCATAAGACGCACCTAGGTTTTAGAGGCAGAAAACAGGAAAAAAAAATTCTGAACTAATGGACTGCAGACATAGTACAGGAGATGACCAGAGACTGCGGACACAGTTCAGGGGATGACCAGAGACTGCGGACACAGTACAGGAGATGACCAGAGACTGCGGACACAGTACAGGAGATGACCAGAGACTGCGGACACAGTACAGGAGATGACCAGAGACTGCGGACACAGTACAGGAGATGACCAGAGACTGCGGACACAGTACAGGAGATGACCAGAGACTGCGGACACAGTACAGGAGATGACCAGAGACTGCGGACACAGTACAGGAGATGACCAGAGACTGCGGACACAGTACAGGAGATGACCAGAGACTGCGGACACAGTACAGGAGATGACCAGAGACTGCGGACACAGTGCAGGAGATGACCAGAGACTGCGGACACAGTGCAGGAGATGACCAGAGACTGCGGACACAGTGCAGGGGGATGACCAGAGACTGCGGACACAGTGCAGGGGATGACCAGAGACTGCGGACACAGTACAGGGATGACCAGAGACTGCGGACACAGTACAGGGATGACCAGAGACTGCTGACACAGTACAGGGATGACCAGAGACTGCGGACACAGTACAGGGATGACCAGAGACTGCGGACACAGTACAGGGATGACCAGAGACTGCGGACAGCACAGGGATGACCAGAGACTGCGGACACAGTACAGGGATGACCAGAGACTGCGGACAGCACAGGGATGACCAGAGACTGCGGACAGCACAGGGATGACCAGAGACTGCGGACAGAACAGGGATGACCAGAGACTGTGGATAGTACAGGAGATGACTGCTGACCTTTGGGGAGGGGGGGGAGCGGGTACCTGAATTTGACAGATACCCGCTCCCACTTCCGCGGAGTTGTTCTTTCATCTTACCCGTTCCTCTATCCAGCCGCGCGCTGTCTTCCCGGCTTCTGTAATGGCGCTCGGCATGACAGCCGGGTGCCCAGTACGCATGAGCGATAAGCACTTGCGCTTTGTGATTGGTCCGGCGGCTTCTGGGATCTGTCATGTGTCCCAGGTGCCGCCTTACCATTCACAAAAAGCCCCGCTTCTTGCGCATGCGCACTTGGCACCCGGCTGTCATGCCCACACTACAGAAGCCGGGAAGACCGCGCCGCTGGATAGAGGAACAGGTAAGATGAAAGAACAACTCCACGGAAGTGGGAGCGGGTATCTGTCAAATTCAGGTACCCGCTCCCCACCTCCCCAAAGGTCAGCAGTCATCTCTATAAGGTCCCGCTGTAGAGCTGAGCGGCCGGCCCGGTATTCTGACACGGCGGCAGTGGAAATACCGGACCGGCCGCTTCATATTCGCTCCATAAGACGCATTGACATTTTCCCCCCTTTTTGGGGGGGGGAAAAAGTGCGTCTTATGGTGCGAAAAATACGGTATATATATATATATATATATATATATATATTACACATAAATTATTTGAAGTGGTATTAAACCTAAAAGCAAATATATATTATATTGCAGTTTACCAATTCTTAGATGTAAGCTATATCCCTACTCTGCTTTAAATATTTAAAACATCAAACAAAACCAAGCTGTTCAAGTAGAATTAGGGCTCATGTACACTGCAGCTGATAAACTCACGTTTAGGAGCTGTTCTGTGTTTTTTTCAGCAGCCCCTGAACTCACCCTAATGTTTTCCTATATGTCCATGTACACATCTTCGTTTACAGTCATTTACAGGCATTTGAGTTTACAGTCGTTTTTTTTGAATGCATAAAACTTGTGTGCAGCAGTCGATTTTATCAGCGTTTCAAACGCAAAACGCTTGTAAACGCGGCTAAACGAGTTTATAAGCATTTATGTTTGAAATTTTTTTTTAACTCTTCCAGTTCCCGATGCTGTCCAGAGTCTTTTTTCATCATGAAAAATGCATGCAAAGCATTTTCAAGGTGCTCAGATGGACAAAACACTGCACACAGGATGTTCCTACCAAGCTTGTCACACATTGTAATGATCAATCCACACCTCAGAGGTCTCCCACCCGTGGAAACAAAAGATATGTTAAAGACCATTCACACCTCAAATTCCTCATGAAGACCCCCTGCCAGGTGACCTTAATGACTAACTCCAGCAGACACCTTCCTCCCCTTGGAAACAAAAGAAATGTTAATGAGCAACTCAACCCTAGCTAATGTCAACACATACTGCTGTCTCTGCTTCTACTGTCTGTATTTCTCTGAAACAGTCTGAAATAGTTAATAATTTACCACTTTTCAGTTCATTCTGGGCATTTGGGAGGTTCCCCTGCGCTTATCTTTAAAAAACGCTTCTAAACGCAAACGCACATAAACGCGTTATGCAAACGTGGCTAAACAGACGTTTTTTAACCTACGTTTTCCAGCATTCAGTTTCTATCGTTCAGAAGTGTCCCATGTACATGGGGCCTTATAGGCAACACTTTTTTTTTTTCATTTTGGATAGAATAAGGGAGGGTTTTGCCATCTGTGTACTATTGTGGAGATTCCCTTCACTTTTGAGATATGCCATGTACCCTTCTGAGCTTGTAAGTGGCCTT